AATCCACGTAATTCACAACGAACGTGAATATATCGCATATAGACCTGTAGTGTTGTGTAATTCACTTTGTAATGACAACGTTTTTCTTTTTCATATATAAAAGATTGTAATTATATCTTGTAATTAACATTACCTGAAGTTTAAAATAATTAATACTCCTCGCACGCAATTTAGACATTCTAACTAAGTGAAGGTATGTAGGCTATTAATATTATATTCGAATCGCAGAATTACTACATAACAATTTACGACAAGACTACATTCACGGAGACATTTACAAAAACAAAACAAAAATGAAATTAAACATTGTCTTCTATTTTTCCCACGTACCGGCTTATTGGTAACTATTTTTTGTTTAATTTTTTTCTCTGTTCACGTTATTTTTTGTTAGTTTGGCACAAGGCACTCTTTCAATGGGCGTTATCAAGGATCACCTCTACGGCTATATCAAATATTTCTGAAGTCAATGATAATGATGATTGGTAATCGAATATAGATAGTTGCTGGACTAAGCGAACTTCAGTGAACGGCCATATTCATTTAGTGAAAGAAGGTGCTCGAATAAGTACTTATGTAGTCGGATAGAATGTACGGTTATTTCAACGCCGTTGGTCGGACACGTCCCGGTTATCGAACAGTTTATCCACTTTCAGATATTAAAATATTCTCTTGCTTTTCAGTGAAGCTGTAAATACGGCGACAAAAGCCGGAAAATGCCCTGTAACAGTTTATAATCTTTGATGTAATGTTCTTACACAATTCTTAAAAAAAACCTTAAAATATCCAAGGGAAATGAAACACGTATAATGCACTTCTAAAATCCACGAAAACCATCCCCCCAATAAACATATTTGTATGGACAAATTAATAACAGGCTTGCCGTTGGAGTGGTTTCGGTCCCTGACACAAAATGCCCTTACGATTTATAAATTTTCGCACCTTTAAAAATGGTTACGACTCCTTCACGTTCTGTGGACACATTCGTAGGCTTATAAAATCTATTCATGTTTACACAGTACAGACAGGGATTTTATTTCACCACTGTGACAGCTCATCTGGTAAAGACGATGCTTCACTAACGTTGATAAATGAAACAGGTTTGAGTTCTAGATACCTGCTCATGAGCTAGATAAATAAGTTAATATTCAATGAGCGGTGGTCTGCATTATTGTAATCCCAGTCAGAGCAGCGTTGCCGGCCCAGGTGTGGAACAGGCAAGGAAACATAACCCATGAGCAAGTATCTAGCAAGTTCGGCTTCGGGATACACTCTGCTCGCCGAGTGAAATTATTTAGACATACACGTGTAAATTTTAGTTATTGGCTTAAGGCTAAGTGGTGGGAGGGATCGGGCTATAGAAAGACTGTGTTGCGCCAAACGTCCAGGTGAGGAGATCCTATTGGTCCGATTTGAAAATTCATCATTCGAAATTCTTGTTTTTATTAGAGATTGAACACCGACTACTGTCACTTCATGGTATGGATACAGCTCCACCAAGCACGTGCAAATGGCAGACGGTCATATAAGAAGGCATATAAAACTAAAGCAG